GTGAAACTATAGCAATATGTTCTGTAGTCTTTGTTTCTATATGTTTGTCAATTATGGTTTTAAAGTATTTAAAAGGGTTAGCCATCCAAATGCATAATTGCTGTTTGTTTAAATTGTTTAAAACAGTTTGCTTAATAAATTTGTAATCAGTGTTTAAAGGCCCCAAGAAAAATTGGTTGTTAGTTTTTTTGTGTTAGATTTATGAGCTTAATAAATTGAGCATTAAACAAATAACAAATGGTTGCTAGTATTCTTCTCTGTGAGAAAAACCTTCAGTTACATAAGGCTCCATCAACAAAGACCTAGACAGAAGATGGTCTTACCTTGTACTGGTCATCTATTCTTATGTAACAAATCATCCCAAAATGTATTGGCTCAAAACAGCATTTATTATCTCACAGTTTTGTATCCCGCAGGTCAGAGATCTGGGCACAGCTTAGCTGAGTGCTTCTGACTCTAGGTCTCTCACAGGCTGCAGTTATGTTGGCAGCTGTGGTTGCAGTCATCTCAAGTTCACCTGGGGAAAGAGCCTCTTCCAAGCTCACTCATGTGGCTGATGGCAGGATTCCATTCCCAGCAGGCTGCTGACTGAGGGCCTCAGTTCCTCACTGGCTGTTGGCTGGAAGCTGCCTTCCGCTCCTTGCCATGTGGACCTCTCCATAAGGCAGCTTGCAACATGGCAGCTGGCATCATCAGGTGAGCAAGCACAAAGCCAGAAAAAGAGTCATAGTCTTTGAAAATCTAATCTCCAAAGTGACATCTCATCACTTATGCCATATCCTATTGTTAGAAGTAAGTCACTGGGTCCAGTCCACACTTAAGGGGAAAGGATTACACAGGCCAGGAATACCAGGAGGTGGGGATCATTGGGTGCCATTTTAGAAGCTGCCCACATGTGAAATTTTCATAAGGCATTGGCCCATAAGACAACAATACACTGAGGGCCCTGGATGTGCAATTAAATGTCATGTCTCTGCAAACACCAAACCACCATGTATTTGTAGAACACCTTCTATGCACCAAGCACTGTGTGGATGCTGGAGATACAGTGATGCATGGCCACAGTTCCTGCCCTCAAGAAGCTCAAAGCTGAATGAGGGAGGTCAACAATAAAAGGATAGTTAACCAAGCTCTAGTCTCTCCCCCTCCTATGGCATGTATTATTTCATTTTGCAAATGTTCATTTAATTCTCTAATTCCCTGTGAGACCATGATGTCCTTAAGAGAAGATATTGTGTCTCTTTCATCTGTGTGACTGCTTGTGTCTTACACATGGCCTGACACGTAGGAGGCCTTCAAAAATTATAACACTTTAAAACTAAAAAAGCAGGCATGGTCAATTATCTATTAGTCATTTACACCTTAGTGTGAATTAGTGGCCCTAATCTGAGAAATAACCACTGATGGAGGAACATGTGCCTGGGAGCTGGATAAAAGGGATGCTAAGGGGACTATGGACAGAGCAAACTCATAGCATAAAAGGAGATAAACATAGATTCTAGTTTAGTCAAGGTGTGATTTAACTGCCCCTTTCCTCCCTCCTTTCCCCAGTTCTCAAGCAATAAGGAAGTTCAACAGTATTATGTTTCTACGGCTTCTCTTGGTTTTATGTGTTCTTTAACACAGGCAGTAATTATATGCCATAATTTTGACACTGACATAACTCCATTTCTCTCTCATATAATTGCATGAATGTGAACTCTCTATAATTACTGTGTTTAATTAGAAAATAAGGAGATGCAACTAATGAGGACAGGTGATTAAAAACAACTGCGAACATTTCTTTCAAATTTACCTTTAGCATAAAATTCACTCCAATTAAGTTCTAGTGAACCACAGAATTTTTTTTATAAGTGTTGTCAGCAGTCATTTAAATGAACATATTACCAGAGCGATTCATATTTGTGGAAGAGTTAGAATAGAAAACTATCATCGTACCTATGAACTGAAGCTTCAATGATGTCTTTGGCCAGTTTAATTTGGAAAAGTAAAGTATGGGTCACAAAGTAAATAGTTAACTCTGTTTTCAAAAATTTTTAAATGTATTATGCTCTCTTCAGCAGGGATCTTACCTGGAAACCAAAATGAAAACAAGGAAGAAAAAGTAGAGTTGCTATAGGGGTAAAGGTTTAAAGCCTATGGACTCTGCCCTTCCTGCTCCACGGAGCTTCTTAAGACAGGTAGGGAGGGGGACATACTGCCGTTTCAAGCCACAAGTGTCCTTCAAGGAGAGTGGGGTCTGTGAAAAGCAGCTTCCTGGGCTCTGCAGATCTTTGCATGCGAAGAGTAGATAGGCCTTGAGGCTGAGCCACAGTTGGAAATAGGGGCCATAAAGATGAGTCATTCTGGCAACAGAGTAAGAAGAATAAGGGTCAGCTGGGATGGGAAGGCAAAGAGGGAAGGAGGAATCAGCAGAAGGGGGCTAAGTGGCCAACAAAGTCCTCAGAAGTCTTGTGAAGTTCTCTCATTACTTTGATGCAGTATCAGTCCCCTAAGTAGATTCCCAGTTTCAGTACAGTTTATCATATTCACAAAGGACTAGTAAGGCAAGGTATTTGTGAGGATCACAGAAAGAGCCTGTGTATTTACTGTAGGTGAGCATGGCATGGGAAGGAACAGTATGGGTGAGACTAAGAGATGATCAAAAAAGGTTGAATTAATTCAACCTCAAGATGGTTTAGGAGCTGGCTAAGTGTGAACTGCTTAGAGCAACGTCTTGCATGCAGTAAAGGCTGATATGTGCTTACTAATTTAAATAAATGCATACATACATTTTGTAACAAACACAGTCCCCAAACCTGGCCAAGCTAACTTGACCTAAAGCAGACGAATGAAAGTTACTGAAGTAGCAAAGGTGTCCTCCCCAAATTGTGGGGCCAAATTCATTTACTAAGAGAACTAGAGGCCCAAGACTGTAATTTCGTTAATGATAAATACTAAATCCTTTTTTGTCTTTGTCTTCTGAGGACCTAGTACAAATGCCCAGATCATAGTAGAAATCTAACAAAAAATTATTCAATGAATAAATGAATGGATAAATATTACATTTTTAAGACATGCATTTATTTAAATTTTTTTTGAGCTTTCTTTTTAAGGACATAGTATTGTTTTAATTACAGCATCACTTTGACAATATTTTTTAACCTCCGTGTCTGTTTCTAGCTCCAAAGGGATTCTCTTAGTCTTAAAGGAATACCAGTTGGCTAACTTGTCCTAAACTTACCCCAACCCTGCCCAACCCACTGGCAAATACTTGCAGTTCACAAAATCAGGAAGTGGATATTATAGTGCAAACTTGTCTCTAGTAATAGGCAAAGAACTCAGGTATGTGTATTTTGCATACAGTGGGTCATAGCAATATTCCTGAGTTCGAAGGACAGTAAATAGAGCTTGTGGTTCTATCTTCAAGGTTGCGGCACTTTGCTTCCCGACTAAGTTTCCTCTGCCTGGTGTAGTCTCACTCCAGACACCTTCCCAGCTCACTCTCTAACTCCTTTAGACCTTTCTCTAAATGACAGCTTTTCTTATTTTTTTATTTTCATTTTTAATTCATATTCCTGGACATCAACCTCAACCTGATAAATGGCACCTTTTCAAGGAGCCTCCCTGCAAGCTAATTTTAAAATTGCAACCTCTTTTTTTTTTTCTTTTTGAAACGGAGTTCCATTCTTGTTGCCCAGGCTGGAGGGCAATGGCACAATCTTGGCTCACTGCAACCTCCGCCTCCCAGATTCAAGCGATTCTCCTGCCTCAGCCTCCCAAGTAGCTGGGATTACAGGCATGTGCCACCATGTCCGGCTAATTTTTTGTATTTAGTAGAGACGGGGTTTCACCATGTTAGTCAGGCTGGTCTCGAACTCCCGAGCTCAGGTGATCCACCTGACTCAACCTCCCAAAGTGTTGGGATTACAGGCATGAGCCACCATGCCCTGCCAAAAATTGCAACCTCTTCTAATCCTCCATTCCCCCTTAGTGTTTTGTTTCTTCATCAGAAAATGGATAAAGCCTTTTTAACACAACTATGCATTACATATATGTGTATATATATGTAATGCATGTGTTATATATACATAGCTTATTATATATAAATGTATATATTTTGTTCTATAGGCTATATTTATTGCATAAACATATATATTATTCCCATAAATCCATATATTTAGTTGTCTATATTCCTTCACCAAAATGTAAGCTCGCAGGAGCATTTAGTTTGTTTTGCCTTCTGATACATCCTCAGTGCTCCATAAATACTTGTGGCTAGTCAACAATAACATACTGTACACTTAAAAATTCATTAAGAGGGTAGATCTCATATGAAGTATTCCTACCACAATAATAAACGAATACTTGTGAAATGAATACAATAAATGTGATCATTAGTAGGTTATTTATTATATGATGAAAAACATTAAAGGCTCTTTACAGCAGCTGAAGTTGCTCACACCTCTTCCTCCGGGCAACCACCATAACCCCACTAAGGCTTAAATTAGATGCCCCTCTGCCTGCTCCAAATGCTCCCCGTAATTATCCTATCCCAGCACTTGTCACAGTGCATTGTAATTATCCGTTTATGTATCTATCTCCTGCTCTAAAACTGTAAGTTCCATGAGATACCAAAGGGATGATGCCTCTCTGAGTAACACACAAGTACTTTGAAATGCTGTTCTGCGTGCATTGGGGCTCCAACCATATTTGTGATGGAATGTTCCAGTCAAAAAGTAGAATAGGGCCAGGCTCGGTAGCTCATGCCTGTAATCACAGCACTTTGGGAGGCCGAGGTGGGTGGATCACCTGAGGTTGGAAGTTCAAGACCAGTCTGGTCAACATGACAAAACTCTGTCTCTAATAAAACTACAAAACAATAGCTGGGAGTGGTGGCATATGCCTGTGATCCCAGCTACTCGGGAGGCTGAGACAGGGGAATCACTTGAACCCAGAAGGCGAAGGTTGCAATGAACCGAGATCGTGCCACTGCACTCCAGCCTGAGCAACAGAGCGGACTCTGTCTCCAAAAAAAAAAAAAAAAAAAAACGGCAAAATACACTTAAAGTTCTCTCTACATCCCTCCTTCTTCTATACTGAAAAGGCAGAAGAGCCAACAGCTGTGAGAAAACATAAACAGAGGCAGGAGGTATAATAGTTAAGCACAGAAGCAAAGAAAGCTGGTGAGCAACATGGTAAGTCCTAAGTATGAAAGGACAGGCAAAACTATCATGGCTTCTAAAATATTTTAATCTTTTTTATTAGAAGTATTTATATTGCCTGAGAAGCATTCCATTGTTAAATTATGTTAAAAGCTGAATATTAGAGAATAACAAACAAATCTTGAGAAATTATTAAGTTGTAAAATCAAAATTATAACCACAGAACGCAGCAGGCCTCAAGAGATCAATTTTGCAGTGTTATTCTTAAGGGGCTTGGGAGTGGGTGTTAAAGCTACAAAAGTTCATTAACAAAAGTATGTTCTAATTTTACAACCAACCTCAAGAGGAAAGAATCAACCTTACTATGCATATTCATGGATAGTAGAAACATTACTGCTAAAAATCAGCCTTGTTTAATTTTTTCTTTTAGAGATTTCCAGTAGGTAATATATAAAATATCTGCAATTCTTTATGAAGAGATCATGGCTAGATTTTAGACTTAAAATGGATTTATTTATTAGTAGTAATTCAGGGGCTGGAAGAAGTTATGTCATACACACATATTTGAGCACCAAATTTATCGTAAATAGTTGTGACTTGGCTTATAACCTCAGTAGTTAGAGGCACGTGAAAATGTCTTATCTCATCTTGACTTAATAAATAGTATTGCTCACTGTCTGCATAAATATCCAAGCATACCACACAGGAGAGGTTTAGGTCTTTGAAAGGGAAGGCTCCTTGGCCTGTCTCCAGAATGAGCATCCTGTTTTGCTTGCCGTGGCCTGCTAGGTGGTTCATCATTGGCTGTCCCCTTCCTCGTCTGCTTAATCAGAAACTCAATTTGACCAATAATCATTTGAGATGCATTATAAGCGACAATAATTCGGTTCATCAGAAACCTGCCTTTTTTATTCCTTTTTCACCACATAATTTTGCAAAATAACCCCCAACCTGCTTGAAGTGTACATATATTTCTTCACTGAAGCAAGGAGAAAACTGAGCTAAGTCAAGTGAGATACACTCACATCATCCAGGAAGGATAATTTTAGAACCAGTTTCAAAGCAAACTCTAATTTGAAAATGCCCCTGCCACTTAGACCCACACAGAGATGTTACCAACCTCACAAAATGTCATCAGATAATTGAGTTTTGCCAGCAGTGGGAGTGACTGCAGCCACTGTGGCCTCCTTGCTGGGAGAGGCAGGAGGAGGAGAAGAGGATAGTTTATTAGAAATAACTTTAGGGAGGGTAAGGTAACTGTGGACATGCAAAAGCCACAGGCTATTGATTGCAAATATGGCAAGGCTGTAGGCCATTCTCATTGCAGGCAGGGCACCTCAGGGCCCGATAGGACTCCTTAAATCTGTTGGCCAGCATTGAGAACTTGCTGCCGTGGCACAGAGAGCAGGTGGCACTGCCCGATCCTCGGCAGTGAAAACAGCTGTCCTCGGGAAGATCCCCTTCCTGCAAGAGACAGGTTAGGGTTTAGTTAGAGCAGCAGTTCAAGTCCATTGTTCACATGCAGGTCAAAACAGCACCAGTCTTCTAGAAAGGCTGGGCCAGAATAGAGGAAAATGCTTCCCACGAATGACAGTGAGAGAATCGGCTGGGACCCAAAATAGTCACAGCAATTTTATCAGAGAGGATTCCCCTGGTGGACATCTCTAAGACAGCATCCCCTGCCACCACACTTTGCATTCCAAGACTTCGTGATCTTCATTGCCTTTCTCACTATCTCTGGCCTTTTCTTCTGTAAGCTCCATAAAAGGCAAGGACTTTATTTTTCTCATTGCCAAATACTACGAGTGAACCTTGTCGCATGCCTGATAGGTGCCAGGTGCAGTTCTAAGAGCTTCCTATATATCATCCATCTCATCCTCACAATATCCCGGTGAGATAGTGTAAGTATTATCATCCTTGTGTTCAGATGGGAAAATGCGATACCAACAAGTCGTTTGCCAATGGTCACACACACAGCTTGGAAGAGGAAGAGGTAGGTTTTCATCCCAGGGATTAGAGCACCAGAACTGACGCTCCTAACGTCTATGTACACAGCTCCTTATTGTAGTTGTCCACAGTAAGTGCTCAAGAAAGGCTGTTTTGTGTGACCGAGAGACTGAGTGGAAAAATCAGTGAATCAATAAATGTTACAATCCTTCAAAGCTTAACTCTGAATGCTTGCAGTGCTTACATCTTTATTCTCTTTGGGAGCTAAGGCCCAGTGAGTAAGAGCTCTGTGCTTTGGAGTTAATAGAGTAGGAGTGAGGCTATTATCTGCCAGCAACTGTGCAACTTAAAAAGTTCCCTTAGCCTCTCCCAATCTGTTCCTTTACTTATAGGATGTGAATAATAATGCTTACCCTTCTGAGTAGCTGGAACATTAAATGAGAGAATATATGTAATGCAATATTATCTATCAAATCATAGGTTCGCCATAAAAGTTAGTTCACTTCTAAGCCTTGCTAACAAATCTCCAACTCTTGACTCCCACTCTTCAGAAAATATTCTTTGGGTATTGTCTTGCTCTCCCCTCAGATATCTTAAGGAAACTGGTGATCTTGGTATTCCTTATAGGCTATGAACAGTTCCAGAAATAAGGGGAAATACTAGATTAAAACCTGGTGAATCCAGTACCGAGTCTTGTCCATTTCAGCTTCTGAAAATCTCAAATCCATCCTGCTTTCTTCATCCCACAACCACAGTCCTAGTCCAACTGCCCACTGACTCTGGCATGAACTCAGTGTGGACCCATGCCTCTTGTCTTGTGATATGTTCTCCTCACTGATGCCAAGCCCATTAAGTTGCCTGCAGTAGTGATTGCCACATAGAGAGCACTCAGGAAAGCTTTTTAATGAACACCTGCCCTCCAGATAAAACCTCAGGATAAAATCCAGTTACTTAGGCTGATTTAAAATTTTTGTCACTTCTTTCATCAAGATCTAGTTCATGGGCCTCTCTGCACTTGGTCTCCATGGACCTTTCCCCACTCCCAACCCAGCCAACTCCTTCCTGTCCCCAGAAGTCAGCTTAGCAGCTCTTCCTCAAGCCTTGCCCACCCACACCTCTAGACCAGGAGTCCCACCACCCCCATGGCCACTTGTACTACCCCTGGCATAACAGGTATCCCATACTCCAATGAAAGTTTCTGTTGATTAGACAGGGAGCTCTCTGGACTTGTACCATTTCATTGTCTCTTCCCAAACATCTAGTGCAGTGCCTGGCACAATGTTTGTGCCAAATGAATAAACTGCTAAGCTGACTTCTGGAGACAAATGAACAATGCTATCTGGAGAACACTTCCTGTTCTTAAATTCTAGGGACCAAGAAGGCAACAGGAGTCCACTGGGTAGCTCTACCCAACTCATACAGCTTTGTTTTATAACCTAAGAATAAAAATAATCTCTGAAAAGGAAGGCATAAGTTTTGAAAATAGCTCCATCATGCTGCAAAGTCCCTACGAAGGTACTAAACTTTATGTATTCTAGATTTAAGGAATAGAAGTCATTACCCAACTGACAAAAACTCAAATAATGTGTATGCACCCTTTTGTTAATATTTTGTTGATTGCTGCCATATGTTAATTAATATTAACAATGAATAGTTTGTTTTCTTCTCTTAAAGTATTTAAAATAAAGATATTTGCCAAAATATTCTTAAAGCTAATTGCCATGATTCATTTCCTGTCAAATCCATTAGGTTTTATGTTTTGTACTTCATAGCAGTGAGATTTTAATAATATAAGTCCACACTGCCAGAGAAAGTACAGTAAAATCCTACCATAATGCTATACATGTGATCCAAAAATTCATTTGCATAAAATGCCAGATCAGATATTGAAAGATTAATGAAATGACCTAGTAAGACTGCTATAGAGAATAAGAACAAGTCTTCCATCAAATTATATCTAATGTCATATGGTTCTAGAGTGCTCTACATTATTTGAAGTTTTGCTGGAGTTTCCATTCTTATGCTGGGTTACCACTCTCTTCAACCACTTACCTTCTTTTTAATGATTCAGCTAATTCAGCAAGTATTTAAGGAGCACCACTCTATACAAGACTTGTATAATATAAGCCTCTTTCTTTCTTTCTCTGTTTCTTTAAATTATTCTCAGAAAATATTTAGTAGGATACAGAACATAATTGCACAGCACAGTTTAGGTTCTAGAACCCAACAGTACCCACCAATCCACCTCTTACTAGCTCCCTGACCAAGAGGGGCCTGATCGTTTATTGCAGACTTCAAGGCTTGTGTAGCACTGAAGATGGTAACCAACACCGATCGAGACTGCATAATAGGGTGTTCATGGTCATGAGACTGATCAACAGATGGACCTATATTTGACTATTGGCTCTAGTGACCTCTGGCAAGTTACTTAACCTCTCTGAGCCTCAGTTTCCCTAGCTGCAGAATGTGACTGTTAATAATATCTACCTCACAGGGTTCTTGTAAGAGTTAAATGAACTATTTCATGGAGCATTGATCACGGTGCCTGGCTATTGTGAGCCCTCAATAAATGGCAGCTATTATGATTATGATTATGCTTATGATGAGATGATTATTACTATTATCTCAAAGTGAGATCACATAAAGCATAAAGAAGCCCAGACAATTCATGGCCTCAAATCCACTGAGCACAAAGCCCAATTTTTCCCTTTCCACCTTTTGCTGTGGCTCAATTCAATTATTCCTCTCCTCTTCTTTGATAGTTAATACAGAGGCTCAATCCTGGCCTGGCTTTCAGCCTTGCCTTGCTCTTTCATTAGATTCTCACTGCTGCCCCACTCCATCTAACACAACAAAGAGGCTCTTGGTCAGAAGGGGCTCCTTGATGTTCTTTGACCTTCTCTTTTAGAATAAAACTTGTCTGAGCATTTGCTGCATGAGGGATTGGGCAAACAAATAGCAATTTAAAACAGAGTTTAAAGGATAGACAAGTGAAGTATAACCTTTCCCAGCAAACTTCTGTTGCACACCTCTGTCCTAGTTTACAGCATTACAGCTAAAAAACACAGATCTCTCCAAATTCAATTTAAAGGTAATTGTCATATCAGGCTTACTTTTGCTTTTTTCACTCAGGCCTGCAGTATGACCTGCTTTTTATCATTTCCACTGTCTTCTGAAAATATATGCTCCTGCAACTTACAATATAGTATGATAGGTAATAGAATTAAAGAATTACATAGCTTTGGGTCACCATGTTCAGTCATCTGCCTGCTGCCAGGTTAGGTTCTTTTTTTTTCCCCCCCTTAATTTTTTGTAAAGACAGATCTCATTATGTTGCTCAGGCTAGTCTCAAACTCCTGGGCTCAAGGGATCCTCCCTCCTCCGCCTGGGATTACAGGCATGAGCCGCCACACCTGGTGCAGGCTAGGTTTGTAATAGTTCTGCATAGAAGATGAAAGAAGATAATGGCCAAAGACTTCTTACCAGCTGGCACTTCGGTCTCAAATTCCAGTATTCTTTCCACAAACATTTAACTAATATTCACTGATTACTTGCTATATGCCAGGCTCTATTTTTCTGATACTGGAACTACAATGTTGCACCCAACATAAACATGGCCAGGCCTGCCCTCATGGAGACCTAATTGGGAAGAGCAAACACCAACCAAATAATCACACAAATTAAAGTAAGATTGCAACTGTCAGGAGGAGTGTAAGGTGCCCTGACAGGTCAATCCTAGAGGAATTTTTCCTCATGGAAGCCAGGGAAGATCCCTCTGAGGGAGTGATGTCTCCTCTGAGATCTCAGAAGCTGAAGGCAAGATGGTGGGGAGTCTAAGGACATTCCAGGCAGAGGGGATTTGCCTCTAGTAGGAAAGAGAAAATAATATATGAGGGATGGAGATGGGGAGATGGGGAGATGGGCAGTGTGTCTGGGGCAAGAGCATGAGAAGAGATGTGTAAGAGATGATGCTAGAGGGGCCAGCAGAGGTTTCTAGAACAAGTAACGAGTTTGGGGTTTTATCCCAAGCAATGAAAACATGCTGAAAGCTTAGAGGGAGTGATGCATATGGTTTGGCTCTGTGTCCCCATCCAAATCTCATCCTGAATTGTAATCTCTATGTGTCCAGTGGGGGGGCCTGGTGGAAGGTGATTGGATCATGGGGGAAGTTTCCTCATGCTGTTCTCATAATGATAAGTGAGGTCTCACCAGAGCTGGTGATTTTAAAGCATGGCTCTTCCTCAGGCTCCCTGTCTCTCTTTCTCTCCCCTACTGCCACGTAAGACGTGGCTTGCTTCCCCTTCACCTTCCACCATGATTGTAAGTTTCCTGAGGCCTCCCTAGCCATTTGGAACTATGTCAATTAAACCTCCTTTGTTTATAAATTACCCAGTCTCAGGTAGTATCTATATAGCAGTGTGAAAGTGGACTAATACAGGGTGACCTAATCAGATTACATTTAAAAATATCTTTTAGAGTGTGAGGGCTGGTTGGAAAGAGATGTGAATGGATGTGAACAGAACTTTCAGAACCTTTTGGTAGAGTCCTGGTTGCTCGTGCCTAGGAGAAGGGAAGAAGAGGTAGAAAGGAAGAAAGAAAAAGGTATATTTTAGAGAAGTTGTGTAGAAGTAGATAGATTTGTGATATGGAACAAAAGAGATAAGAAGGAGCCTTTGGTGCCTCTTGTCTAAGGCCCTCACTCAAAACCCAGTCATGACCTTCTTATCATCTGAACCCTCCCAGAGTGGAGAAATCACTCAAGTTCCAGAAAGCCCCTGACCCATTTTTCCATAGCAATCCCAGGAAGTTAAAGTGAATCTCACAGAGAATATCGAGTCCCAAGAGAATTGCTTCCTCCACCCCCAACCTCACACTGTGAATTATTGAATATCAGCCCTACTGCCCCTGGTCTGAGCATATCTGAGCAATGGTTTCCAAGGTGGTGTGTGCACGCTTCTAAGGCATATGAGAGGAAAACATTGGAACTATTTATATTTACTTTTAATCTAAAATTAGGCAAGATATTAAACTTTATTATATTTTTAAAAGAATTTTTCGGGTGAACCCCTGCATCGGGGGTGTCATCCTCTTCCACGAGACACTCTACCAGAAGGCGGATGATGGGCGTCCCTTCCCCCAAGTTATCAAATCCAAGGGCGGTGTTGTGGGCATCAAGGTAGACAAGGGCGTGGTCCCCCTGGCAGGGACAAATGGTGAGACCACCACCCAAGGGCTGGATGGGCTGTCTGAGCGCTGTGCCCAGTACAAGAAGGATGGCGCTGACTTCGCCAAGTGGCGTTGTGTGCTGAAGATTGGGGAGCATACCCCCTCAGCCCTTGCCATCATGGAAAATGCCAACGTCCTGGCCCGTTATGCCAGCATCTGTCAGCAGAATGGCATTGTGCCCATCGTGGAGCCTGAAATCCTCCCTGATGGGGACCATGACTTGAAGCGCTGTCAGTATGTGACTGAGAAGGTGCTGGCTGCTGTCTACAAGGCTCTGAGCGACCACCACATCTACCTGGAAGGCACCTTGCTGAAGCCCAACATGGTTACCCCAGGCCACGCCTGCACTCAGAAGTTTTCTCATGAGGAGATTGCCATGGCGACTGTCACAGCGCTGCGCCGCACGGTTCCCCCTGCTGTCCCTGGCATCACCTTCCTTTCTGGAGGCCAGAGTGAGGAGGAGGCATCCATCAACCTCAATGCCATCAACAAGTGCCCCCTGCTGAAGCCCTGGGCCCTGACCTTCTCCTACGGCCGAGCCCTGCAGGCCTCTGCCCTGAAGGCCTGGGGTGGGAAGAAGGAAAACAAGAAGGCAGCGCAGGAGGAGTACATCAAGCGCGCCCTGGCCAACAGCCTCGCCTGTCAAGGAAAGTACACCCCAAGCGGTCAGGCTGGGGCTGCTGCCAGCGAGTCCCTCTTCATCTCTAACCATGCCTACTAAGCGGAGGTGTTCCCAGGCTGCCCCCAACACTCCAGGCCCCGCCCCCTCCCACACTCTCTTGAAGAGGGGGCCTCTTACTCCGGGGCTCCAGGCTGGCTTGCCCACACTTTTGCCTCCCTTGTGACAGTGGTGTGTGGTGTTGTCTGTGTATGCTAACTCCATCGCCCTTTCCAGCACACTGCCAATAAACAGCTATTTAAGGGGGGAAAAAAAAAAAAAAGAATTTTTATAGTAACTTTTAATAAACTTGTGGACACTGACAGCCATATTGGGTCAGGCAGTCACTAGACAAGCATGGAACCCAAGGGACTCTGGAGTAAGAGTGGCATTCAAATGCTGTCGACAGTAGCGTCCAACTCATTTGTTCACTTTCAGCACATCGTAACATATTGCAGTTTACCTGTGCCTGGTCTAGTGGATTTACAAATGATACTCCTTAGTTTTAGCCAAACTAATATGCCAAATGTAATTATGACTTTACATGATGTCTTCACGAAGACTATGGATCAAGGATAACAGCAATAATAGAACAAATGAACCCATAAGAAAAGATAGGGTTGATTTATTTTTTCCACCTCTAGAACCAGCTGTTCATAAGCCATACTGCACAGTGAAAACAATAAATATTTAATCAGATCTGAAACCAAGTCAGCCAAAAAATTAAAAATTTAAAGTATTTGAAATATGGACTTATAACTGCTATTGCTAACAGTGTACCATTAAAATATAACAAATGTTAAATTCCTCATATCTTCAAATTTATATATCTTAAGTATTCATATTCAAAAGCTTTTATGTAAGCAGTGCACAGTCAAGCCAGCTTGGAGACCGTTGCTGTAGGGCCAGCTCCAAGTAGGATAGTCAAGCTCCCCAACGCACCTGTGCATACTGGTTATGGGGGAATGTACTCTCCGCCTCCACCAGAGGCCTCTCATGCTGTCCTCTGCCTCCATAGCTTTCTTCTTTGCTCATCAGAGACTCTTCCTCAGCCTCCTCTTCCTTCTGGAGAATTTTCCTCACAAAGTCTCTCTTGTCCATTGGGGTTCGAATGATTTTCAGGTTATTAGTGTAGATGATTATCTTTCCAAAATCTATGATAGGTAGGGGCTAGAGAAATGGAGAATGAGCATGGAAACTTTACTACCAATCACCAAGTAGAGAGCTGCAGAACCTGTCCAACATACCAGGAAACAGCAAAGGAGGAACTTCTACCACCCAGCACTGGTGATCCCATTAGACACCAAAGTCACAATTCATTCCCTGGTCTGTTTGCTCTCTCTAAAAGCCAAGAAAGCCAGCTTCCTTCTTCCTGTTGATGGTGACCAATCAAAGCTGAACTACTCAGAGTATGAGAGTCTGGAGGGCAAGGGCTAGAGCTTCTATTCGTACTGCATACCCCCAACAGCCAATGCAGGGCTGGGTACAATGAGTGTTTAATAAATACAGAGGGACACATTTTTGTTTTATATAAATATCTCTCCAATTTTTTATCAGCATAAGTAATAATATTAGTAGATGCCACCTATTGAGCACTCTTTGTGTCAGGCATCATGCTAAGCATTTTACCAACACTGCCTCAGTTTCTCCCCAGACATCTCTATGAGGCAGATGCTGTTATTCCCACATTTTAAGTTGAGGAGACTGAGCCTCAGTGGGGTTAAATGCCTTACTAAGGTGACAGAGTTACTAGGGCTCTGTGACTAGAATTGGAATTCGTCTGTCACCCTAAAGTCCATATTTTTACCAGCTATATCACACTATTCAAAAGTATTTCCCCCCCAAAAAAATTAGGATCATAACATATACTCTGTCATAACCTATTTTTTCATTAGCTATATAATATGAAAAGCATCTATGCCAATAAATAGACTTCTAAAGCATCATTATTAATACCTTTTGTTCTCTTGCATGATGTTACTTAATTATTTGCTCAGGAATAAACCTGGGCAATACCACAATGCAGTAGAGAGGACTGGAGGATAACTGTTTAGAAATTACTTTAAATACAAGACTGCCTGACTGCAGCATCTAAATAGAGTTGGTTTATACAGTTCTGTAAGCAGGGCAGAATATTTCATGCCCTGAAGTGTTTAGTTGCATAGTGTGATTGTGAGATATAGGAAAGTCATGTAACCTCTCACTTCAGTTTGCTCATTTGCAAAGGGACTGAAGTCCAGCTGGTAGGCATCGCCACAGACAAGCTAGTGATTAAAATACAGAAATGCTTCCATACTGGATGGTGAATATGTGCTGTCCTGAGACTCCTGAGTGCCATCCAATTAGCCCAGTCTTCCTTCAAGGAGCCTCTAACATCCCCAAACCTAGTAATATAAGAGTTCATGCTTAGGAACCCAAGTCTCAGTACCCATCCCCAATACTCTGTTGGCTTCTCTGCTGATTGAGCAGTGTTCCTGTGGTTAAATATTTTTACTTTCATTCTTGAGGCTAATTATATCAACTTCTCTGGGTGGAAGGTGCCATGAAAAATATATAAAACAGTATTTGCAAAAGCTGGAGATACTATGCAGATTGTGAGAATTGTTGCCATTGTTATTATTTAAAACTTTTCTTCGGGAGTGTATGCACAATCATACTACACAACTAAATACCTCAGCATGAAATATTCTGCCCTGCTTACAGAACTGTATAAACCAAATCTATTTAAATGCTGCAGTTAAGCAGTCTTGTATTTATAGCCCTTGTATATTCAGCCAAAACCTGGCTTAAGTAAGACTTTGATATTCAGGCTCTCTTTCATGAAATGCCAATGGAGTTTTCAATAATTATTTATTAAGCCACAAGCTTCCTATCTGGCCCTATTTTCTCTTCCTTTCTTCAAGGGATCATGTAGCAGCTTCCATTTCCTATTGTTTTATGCAGGCTGGATTCTTATTTCACACTCTGTACTATCGGTTTCTGAATATCAGAAGATAAGGATGGTGGTACTTTTGGAAGGTTCCATTTCTACTTCCAGTAATAGCCAACAAGGTTCAGTTACTAGGAAGCTTTTCATCTCTAGAGCTGACTTTTTTCAAGACAAAACTCTCAATATGCTAATCTAAGATCACCTGCTCCAGACCCCTGTTTCTGAGCTGCTCAATGTCTGATACACCCAAGATAGCAAGTTTTTGTTTTGTTTTTATTGTTGTTATTTTTTAGATGAAGTCTCGCTCTGTTGCCCAGGCTGGAGTGCAGTGGCACAATCTCAGCTCACTGCAACCTCCGCCTCCCAGGTTCAAGCAATTCTCCTGTCTCAGCCTCCCAAGTAGCTGGGATTATGGGCATGCATCACCATGCCCGGCTAATTTTTTGTATTTTTAGTAGAGACGGGGTTTTGCCATGTTGGGGCCAGGCTGATCTCGAACTCCTGACCTCGTGATCCACCCACCTTGGCCTCCCAAAGTGCTGAGATTACAGGCGTGAGCAAGTTTATCTTTTAATGTACCCCAAAGATGGAGGCTCTCAAATCACTTTTAAGATGTGTTTAAGTTTTAGTCACCCTGATAGGCAAATTCTTCCTCGTGTCTAAGAAAACTCTCTGGGTGTAATGAAAGTTCACATTATATGGTTACATCAAATGTCAATGAGGAACACCCACTCCTGCATGATAGAGGGCCAGGACAGAGCCAAGAATTTTTCATTTCCTTTCCTGGCGTACAGAATGGCAACCTATGTGATTGAGCACTTGTCGATACTCTGGTGTCTGTGGCAACATGCCTAGAGATTATTGATCAGGCACTATTAAACCTGCCCACTGCTCTGTTTTTAAATGCAGAAATGCTTATTGGGTACTAGAAATTCAGTGGGCTTTGGAGATAGACAGACCTGAGTTCAGCCTGTATTAAAATGTCATTTGACAACTGTGTGAGATTTGCAAGTTAGTTAACCCTTATGAACTTCCGTTTTTCCAATCTGCAAAACTCTCCAAGAAATCCTGTAAAGATGAAATTATGCAATATTATAAAGTAGGTGTTCAGTAAATGTTACCTCCCTTCCTTTTCCCTTCCATTTTCTTTGAACCTTATAAACTTCAGTCCGTTTTAATTGCTTAAAATATTTTGATTATTTATAACCTTTTTCTCTACCCACCTCATAAAATTTAAGACTCAACATTTCTTTGATAAGAACCTGCTCATTATTGCAATGGTGGGTAACATTTGCTAAGCACATAAAATGTGCCAGGCACAATGCTAAGAGCTTCTTATGTGTTATCTTTTAAAAACCATCATAACAACTCTCTTAATCAAGTCCTTTGATATACCTCATATCACAATGATGCTGAAGGTCAACAGGGTTAACTAGTTTGTTCAAGCTTACGCAGTAAATGGGTAGGACTGAACATCAAGCTCGGGTTTGACTGGCATCAAAGCCCTTTTTAAAAAATATATGTATATATTATTATCATGGTAACCTGTACATATCATAGAATTTACCATCTTAACCTTTCTAAGTGTACAGCTCAGTGGCATTAAGTGCATTTACATTACTGTGAAGCCATCACCACCATTCATCTCCAGAACTGTTTTCTTCTTCCCAAATTGAAACTCTGTATCCATTAAACAGTAACCCTTCTTCTCCTGTATGCCCAGCCCCTGCCAACCACCATTCTCCTTGCTGTCTCTATGATTTTGACTACTCTAGGTACCTCAGATAAGTTCAATCATATAGTATTTGTGTTTTCGTGACTGGCTTATTTTGTTAGCATAACGTCTTCAAGAGTCATCCACATTGTGCATGTGTACAATGTCCTTCCTTTTCAAGGCTGAATAATATTGTGTTGTGTGTACATAGCACATCTTGTTTATCCATTCATCAGTCTATGGACACTTGGGTTCTTTCCATCTTTAGACAATTGAGAATAATGCTCCTAGGAACAATGGTGTACATATATCTGAGTTCAGAGCTCTTGCCTTGAATTATTGCACTTAATTGCTACCCAATGTGGTCTCATAGCCAATATTTACTAGGAGGTATTTTACAATTGGATTTGCTGTTAAAAAGTCATAACATTAGCTCTCATTTCCTTCTTTTTCATAAATACCACATTGACAAGTGGTTCCAGTGGGTGGAGCTGCATGAATCCATCCTGGCCACTTTCATTCTCAGAAGCTGGCTATGATTGGGATGGGGCACTTGATCAGGAAACAAAGAAACCGGAGATAATGAGGCCAAGCAGGAATCGAACCTTCAACATGGCCTCTAAAACATATAGAGTACTGTGTTCTAACCAACTGATCTATGCTGCCATGAAGACTCATTTATCTAGATTCATAAATTCTATAGTCCTAGCTACCAGAGAGGCTGAGGCAGGAGGATCCCTTGAGCCCAGGAGTTTGAGATTGCAGTGCATTATGAACGTACCACTGCACTCCAACCTGGGTGACAGAGCAAGACCCTGTGTCTAAAAAAGAAAAACAAAATTATACATTTACATAAATGCTAAATTTTGCACATAACTTATGAAGATCAAGCAACCCAAAATTTATCTACTGGGTCTTGTAAAAGGTTTGCATGAACTGTGACTTCGTAAATTCTAAACTTACAAATAAGATACAGTTAAAAAGGAATAGTATAAGTACAAGATTAGCTAAGTACCTAGGACACAATAAGCACTCAACCAATGGTAGCTATTATTATTATTATGTAATCATATTGTTCTCAAAAAAAGGAACATACCCTAAAGCAAAGCATTTGGGGAATAAGAAGATCTGGATTCTTATTCTGACTCTGTATCCAATGACCCCGTAGTGTCAAATGGATCCCTTAACAACTTGGCACTCAATTTTTCTCATCTGCAAAATGGGAATGACCATACTTTGCCTTTCTCCCCAGGGTTATGATAAAGACCCAACGTGATAGATGCAGATAGAGATAGCTTGTGATAACACTTTGTAATACATACACCCCATTAAGATAAGAGGTCATTAAGTTCAGCCCCCTTTAATATCAAAAAGAAACCTAGTGTTATCTTTGGTAATTGTGAACATGCCCATAATTATACTTTCACCAAGGTCAGTAAAGCCAAAAATACATTTGTCTGCAATAGATATATTATCTATTCCCTTAGGAAACTCACAATAAAAATAATTCAAGAGTAATTATCTGGCTTTCACACTTTAAAGATGAACACATCCTGCTGTACTATTCATTAATAACACAGATACATTATATACTTGTATTTAATCTTTTTTAAAAAGGCATATGTGGTCCCACTAACAGCATATACACATCTCCTATGAATTTTTGAATATCGGTGAATATTTTCCAGGTTCTAGCTTAAAAGAAAACCATGTACGGGCTTTTGATTATCCATGGTACTGGGAAGTAATTGAAATTCATAAATTAAACACATTTCAATGAAACCATTAGCTCAAACTTCTTCCCCACATAACATCTCCTCTGGCTGATTTGCATTTCACCATCTCTTCCCAGGACTCCAACTACCCAGAGTTAATGCTAATGAGCAATGGAAAGGCAAAATAAATAGACAATGCAGGCAGTAGGAGGAAGGCAATAGGGGTAAAAAATAAGACGTGGATAAACTGCAAGCTGAATAATTGGATGGAGTAAAATGAGCACTTTCAAATACTTTGCTCTTTCAGGAAACAAAATGACTGCATAATTGTCTAAAACCACAGTCTGACAACTTGAAAACCACTGCACCTTTATTTAATTTACATTCCGGAAAAACTCAAGGATCAAATTACAATGTATTACCTTGGATGGAATTTGAATACTACATATGCTCATTGCACTTTCCAATTAGTAGTCAGCAAGCATGTTATTTTTACCCCAGAAATATTCGTCTAATAACAGCTTCCCATTTGGTGCGCCGATAGCTCTGCTGGGTACCGAAGGGTGAGCAAGACACAAATCTGAACCATTTAGGTGTTTCTCTAAACACATTTTAGGAAGCCTACCCTTAAAGCCTAGACGTCATGTACAATACCAACCTTTCGGTCATTCGCCTTGTAATCGTTGAACAGAGGCTGGCCGCCTGCCAAAGTGTAGGCATTACCCTCTCTAAACACACTGATCCTCTGAGCAGTCAGCTTAGGGGAGTACAGCTGGGGCCTGGGGGCTTCCCCAGACCCATAAACACCATCCATTGGTTCAAGGGACTCTTGGAGAAAACTGTGAGGGTATTCCTCCTTTGGTGACTCTAATTCCTGCCCATCCTCAAAGACTTGCTTCAGTACTCGACCGCTGTAGGAGGAGGAGATTTTAAATCGTACTTTCCGGGGTTTGCCATCACTCTTCTGATTCAGCTTCTTCTCAGGGTCCTCCATCAGCAGAAAGTTCACCCTGTGGTTTCCAGTCTTCCGTGTAGCCAGTGAAACTTGGGCCTCTGAGAAAAAGGCATTTTATTTTCTCTCGTCCTGCATATAATTAATTCAAGTTGTTGCTGGGGTATGGTCAGTTTACAGCAACTGACACCCATACATTAAATATTGATAGACTCTCATGAAAAGGCAGGCAATTCTGGTTTGATGGAGTAGATGAAACATAAGACAAGATTGATTCTTCTCATAATCCCAAGCTCACCATGACTTCACCCGAACCCTAGCTCTTCTTAACCTGAGGATGAAGAAGTTTATTTAGACTGAATGTGTACCAATTCAATAAGGATCAAACAGGTAATTAATTAACAAGTGTCTTCTTAGTGTTATCAATGACAATTATAATCTAGTGAGCACTGAATAAGTGCCAGAGACTGTTACATGCATTATCTTACTTCATCCTCACAATAACCCTACAAACAAAATACTATCTTTGGTTTACAAAGGGGAAAGTGAGGCTTAGAGCCACTTGTCATTTGTCTTCATCATTTGTCTGCTCTATTACACCTAAGTAAGTGACAGAGCAGGGATTTGAACCCAAATCTATCTGACTCCAAAACCCATGATCAATCCACATAACCAGAAGTTTTCCAATTCTGTCCCATGAGATCCTAGATACAGCGGAGGTTCTTGGGTTCTTCTGCTTCTTCTTCTAAGAACAGAAGAAGGCCAAGGTTCCTGGATTATGAGCCTTCTCCCCATGCACTAACCAGAGCAGCTCCACTTGGTATGTACTTTACATTTAAGATTTCATTTGCAAGCACAGCACAAGTCCCCACTGCCTGTTGGACCTCGTAAATGCCTGACACTGCAATAGTGACTGAAGTGAGTAGCACAGAAGCATGAAATGTGGGCCTGAAAACAGTCCTACAATCTCATGCAGGAAACAGACCTAACACAGGTGAAATAATAACCTCATGCTTAGGGAGCAAACTGCCCACAGCTGAATCCCAGAATAGCCACTCTGGGAAGGAAGTCGTCTCTAAGGAGACAAGGATGGAAGAAGGTTTTTAAAGCAAAAGGCCCTTGGGCTGGGTGGAAAAGGGTAGGTTGGGTGTGAGGAGCTGAAAGTGGAGTAAAGCCTTTCTCCTTGTCTTTGCTACCAGTATCACCACTTACTGAGTTGCCCAAATTGACCCCTCCTGTGCCCCTACAGCCATTCATATTGATTCTATCACCACTGCCTTCTTTCATCCACTCCCATCACCCTGACCATAGGTCCAACCCTCATTTCTTGTTTTCAAAGTTGCATCTGTCTCCCAAGGACTTCGCTACTCACCCCCAATTCCATTCTCCATATTGATGTGAGAGCGATAGTTCAAAAAAACAAGTCTACAGGTGTCAGTTTCCTGCTGAAAAATCTTTTCCAGTGGTTCAGGGCATAAATCCTAACTGTTCCATGTGGCAGGCAAAGCCCAACGAAAACCAACCTCACCTTCCTTTCTTTCCAGCCTTTCCCTCTGTCACTCTTCTAGGGGTTGCTGGGAATTGGTATTCCAGTCACACCAACAAGCTCACCCATTTCTCAAACCCACAAGTTTCTGTCTCTTATCCGGTACTCTGTTTCTTGATTAGAGTGTCAAAGTTTCATTCCTCCTTCAAGTCACACCTCCAATGTCATTACTTCTGGGCAGCCTTCTCACCAGCCCCAGGAAGAATGCCATGGAACTTTTGGACCTGCCGCCATTCAGGAGCTTCTCATTTTTCCTTTCCCTTCCTATTTTTCCCTCCATTCAACTGCAAACACCTTACAGTCAGAAGCTGTCCTTACCGCCTAGTCCCAGTGTTTATCAAAGTGTCCAATACATAATAGAACTCAGTAATTATTGAATGAATGACTTCAGATGAGAGAAACCAAATACACAAAACGTTTTGAACAGGAATTGAGTGTATTTTGTGTAGAATAATGAAGAGGTAGGATAAGAAGGTTTTTTTAAATCTACCTTTTTACTAAGGAGAGGTGTCAGGGTTGTAAAGTCCCTGTGTAACTGGTGCAAGAGATAGGTGGGAAGGAAGAAATAGGGAAACGACATTTAAAGAAAAAGAAAGATAACGATTTTCATGACATCATAACTCCCCCAGGATGCAGTGTTGTCTACATACCATCAATGAATTACAGGAGACCGAGACTTTGATCTTTCAGCCCTCATGGCAGCCAGGTGGGCCCCAGGACTACACAAGTCTTATTCATTTACTTCACTGTCTAGAACAATATCAAGCTGGGCATGGTGGCTCGCATCTGTAATCCCAGCTACTCAGGAGGCTGAGGTGGGAGGATTGCTTGAGCTCAAGAGTTTGAGACCAGCCTGGGCAACAAAATGAGACTTCATCTGTACAAAACTCTTTTTGAAAAAATTATCTGGGCATGATGATGCATGTCTGTAGTTCCAGTTACTCAGGAAGCTGAGATAAGAGGATTGCTTGAGCCCAGGAATTTGAGGCTAAAGTGAGCTGCAAGTATACCACTGCACTCCAGCCTGGCAACAGAGTGAGACCCTGTCTCAAAAAATTGTATATGCGCGAGCGCGCGCGCGCACACACACACACACTCACACACACACACACACACACACATAAATGTAACGATTATTTTCCTTTTTTTTCTTTTTTTGAGACACGGTCTTGCTCTGTCACCCAGGCTGGAGTGCAGTGTCACAACCTTAGCTCACTGCAACCTCCACCTCCTGGGCTCAAACAATTCTCCTTCCTCAGCCTCCCGAGTAGCTGAGACCAAGGTGTACAACAATTATTATTTTCTAAGTGTGACATGCCATGAAAAAGATTGGGAACTCCTAACTAGAATAATATTTCCTTCTCTTTCTCCCAGGAAACAAATGTTAATATATAAGCAATAGCCTATTTTCATCTAGAAAAAACGGGGAACTGGCTTCTACAACTACTTGTCAAGTAAACCTTTTCAATTGCCCCAAAATGAATGCCAGTGACAAGAAAAACAAAGCTGGAGCTGAGTTTTCTAAGTAACATTTGTTCAGCACTTTTTATGCCATTCCCATGTTCACAGACAAATTTTCCGTGAGCCAATCTAAAATCATGGGAAGTTTTGAAACCACCATGCTCGTTTGAAAATGTTCAGATGTTGGTGTGTTCAGGATAGTCACAAACACACTCCAAGAAGAGGAACAAATTGATAAATGTAAAGCAATTTTGGTCATGTTATCAGAAGCCTTACAAATATTAATATCCTTGAAACTTCCTAAGAAAGAAAACACTGTAGCTCCATATATCCAAAGAAATCATGGCAGAACCCTAATATCAGTTGCCTCTGGCAACTAGGTGGAGGATTTTGAGTGGTTTTTTTTTTCTTTCCCAGTTTTACCATATTGTACTTGTCTATGATAAGTTCATCTTACTTTGATAAGCAAGAATAAAATAAATGAAAAAAATCCATTCATTTCTACCCAATTCTTTCCCTTCAGAAAATAACTTTAAAGAGATTTATGTAAAGATATTCCCCAAAATATTATTCATAATGAGAAAAAATTGAAAACAACCTCGATATTCAACAATAGGAATGCCACAATATGAAAAATTATGTAGTAATTTTTAAAAGGTTAACAAAAAATTTGAAATAACATGGAAACATGTTTATGATACAAATTAAGTAGGAAAGTAACAGATTTTATGTTCTGTGACGTAGAATTTATATTATAAAACTGTATAGAAAAAAGACTAAAAGTAAAAACATTAAAATGCTAACAGTGGTTCTATATAAAAGGGAAATTAAGAGGGGTTTTTATGCTTTTTTATGTTTTTTTATATTTTTCTAAATTTTCCATAATGAGCAAGTACTAATTTTAATATTAAAATAATAGCGTTTTTAAAGTAAACTATACCTAAAACTTGTGCAGTTGGTTGGAAACACTTAAATTCTCAACATTCTGCATTTTTCCTTTGGCTGAATTCAATAATAGAAAATCACACAATTTTATTGTTAAAAATATACCTTTTGGGTGCCATTTTAATACAAAAAGAAATGACTTTAACTTAAGCCCCCAAACTCATGGAGGAACTGATTACTCAGGATTGTATCCAGCTGCAAAAAATTTCAATGGGTTATTGAATGTAGAGGTGACAGCCAGGCACAGTGGCTCATGCCTGTAATCCCAGGACTTTGGGAGGCAGAGGCAGGTGGATTGCTTGAGCCCATGAGTTCAGGACCAACCTGGGCAACTTGGCAAAAACCCCATCTCTATGAAAAATATAAAAATTAGCCTGGCATGCCTGTAGTCCCAGCTATTCAGGAGGCTGAGGTGGAGCGGAAGGAGGTCACAGCTGACTCGCATCACTGCACTCCAGCCTGGGCAACAGAGTGAGACCCAAAGTTGACTTATGTAGTAATAAAAGCCTTCGTTATAAAATTCAGTTTGGAGCACAATACTTTTTTAAAACTCTGATGGATACTTAAGCTAGTGATTAAACTTGACATTGCTAATGGTGGGACAAATGTATTATGTCTCCTGATGTGATGCTTCATTTACAAACATAAAAATCTTGATGGTGAGAGGGGTACTATTTACAATTACACCCGGACAGGAAGCAAAGTGGAATAAACCCCACCTATGAAGTATTCCGGACAAAATCTTCAATATTTAAGCAAGCTTAGGTTTTGGTTTACAAGAAGTATAGAGAATAGAGGAATGGTTAAGTGACCCAGAAGGAAACAACCAGACAAAGCCACTCTGTGGGACATCCTACAAGACACAGGTTTCATCAAAAAGTCAACATATCAAGGAAAAAATGTTGGCAATAGAAGAAACATTCTAGATTAAAAGAGAATAAAGAAATATAACCAAGTGCCGTGTATCAACCTAGATTTCTTCCTGGAGAAATTTTACTCTAAGGTTGGTATTAACATCAGAAGGAACTAGAGAATTATTGGTCATTTTCTTAGGCAAGATAATGTTATGTAATTATATAGGAGAATGTCCTTTTGTAGGGCATACATGCTGAAATATATAAGGTGAAATATCTGTGTCTGCAATTTTTTATTAAAGAGTTTACCCCCTCAATATTTATGCCTATTTAAATAATGTGTGCATATACAGTATACAATGTAAAAAAATGTTCACAGTGCTTGAGGGCTGCTTATTTTACTATTCCTCCAATTCTTGTATGTTTGAAATGTTTATAATAAAAATTGAAGAGAAATGATACTCTTAAAAATATTCACATTCCAAGCACTTGGGAGTTGGGGAAAAAGAATATTCACAGATACCT